TTACTCTGCCCTGCCTGGCAGCTTGGTTCCCTCTATGAGGCTCCCCCACCCCCACCTAGGAGCTTAGGTGGTGGGAGCCTTTGCACAGTTTCATGTGCTTTCTCCTACCTGGGTCACAAACACATTACAGACCTCGGAGCTCTCCTCAACTTTCTTGAGAACATCTGTCTACTCCAATTCTTAAACCCCCAAGTCAAAGTTCTCTTTGAAACTAGAGCCCTCATCCATTGTGGTTAAATGTCTACCCATTATACGCTTTCTAATTACACATTTTTCTTTTTGTGATTTCCAGCTGAAAAGACCTGCCAACCAACTTGGCAAAAATGAGACATCTACTACATGTAAATTAAGTTTGAATCTAGTTTATTTGAAGAATTATACTTAACCACTTCTCATTTCTTCATGTCTCATCACTATATAAAAAAACTCATCCTCTGTACAAGCATGTAAAATGTGAACAATGAATAAGAAGTGAATATTACACATTTAATGACCAAAATAAGCTATGGTTTTTAAAGGCCACACACTAGGCATGTGGAAACGAAAAATGTTGAGCACACGTAAGAAGTATTTGCTGCCACTTGAGTAATTAAGCCACTGATAAATCTGAACCCTCAGTGCTCAGGAGATATTACATATGTACATTAAAAAATAAAAGTTTTAATGGAAAACATTCCTTAGTGGTTTCATTATCCCAAAATAGAGTCAGTAGTTTTATTTTCTTTCAAGTTATTGTTATCAGAAATCAAACCAATTCTTTACCACTGAGTCACCTGGGAAACACTATCTAGACTGAAGAAAATGTCAAGCACAGCCTCTACAGGACACATGATGCCTTTATCATGCCAGAGGGTCAGTCATCATGGACCAGGATCATCACAGACCAGAACACAGTCAGTATTAGCACCTGGCGAGAAGCCAAGAACTTTATCCAGCACAACCCAGATACAAACGGAAGATCACAGGAGGAGACTTCTATTTCAAGCAACACACTTATTTTGCCCATTATACTCTCCACTTAATAAGACAAAATTAACTGAGCAGAATAATTTTCAGTTCAAATTTAAATATTAACAGTATCTCAAAATAAGCTGTAACAGTCCAAAATGCAGGAGATAGTTTTGAAGGATAAGTGCAAAGCACCCTATTGTCGGACGTGTCATGCAGGCTGGTGATGAGACCAGTCTTTGGCAGCAACTGATGATAAACCAAGCTCTGGAGCTTGACTCACCGATGACTGAATGTGCCAACCAGAGGGCACAGCTGCTGAGCACATGCTGCCCGTGTATCCAGGGGAGCGAGCAGTGCTGCTGGACGCACACTAGTGTTTGGCCAACCCCCAAGGCAGATGCCAGGCTGAGGGCACAAAACCTGAGGCGGCACATGCTCCTGGTGCCTGCAGGTGGTGCCAGCTTATGCATGTGCTCTGGGTACCTCATTTGTCTCACCTGAGTCCTGGCCCTGCTATTCCTGGGCATGTGCGCTCAGTCACTCAGTCGTGTCTGACTCCTTGCGACCCCATGGACTGTAGCCCTCCAGACTCCTCTGTCCATGGAATTCTCTAGGCAAGGATACTGGAGTGGGTTGCCATGTCCTCCTCCAGGGGATCTTCCCGACTCAGGGAATGAACCAGTGTCTTTTACATCTCCTGCACTGGCAGGCAGGCTCTTTACCACTAGCACCACCTGAGCTACTGTATTCCTGGGCATGGCCCCTTGCTAATAATATGAGCTAATTGGGGTCACTTTCTGAAGGGCAGCCCTGGCAGACATTGGAGGAAGAGGACTAACTAGAGGCACTAGGCATTCAGCCTGAAGAAGGCTGAGGGGCGGGCGGACGGGCAGGCTCAGAGGGCTGGTGAGGTGTGAAGAGGTCCAAAGGTGTGAAGGACTGTCTGCTGTGAAGGGGCAGGACAGCAGCTCCAGCAGAACCGTAACCAGTGTCACCAGGAGGCCAGTGTCAGCCCAGCATAAAGCAGAGCCACGAACAGTGGCTACCAGTGGTCATCTGGGCTTGTCCATGAGGGGTGGGACTAGTGACCACAGAAGGGGCGAGGGGGAGGCTGGAGGACCAGGCCCGGGACCCCTGCTGAGAGGTGGGGCCAGATGAGCTTCAGTGCATCTGCTGACCTCAAAGGCCATGATTCTGTAACATCTGCTTCCTGCTCCAGAAATTATTAATTTTAGGTTTAAAAATCCAATAGAAAACTGTGTCTCACCTTCACTCAGAAGGAAAAAATGACGTATACACTCTACTGGTACGATGTGGACACACTGGCTGCAAGGAAGGAAGCAGGCTGGCACTCGGTTAAAGAGAGGCTGGGCTGCTGTGGGGTTTCCATTTTCTGGACTCGGCTTCCCCGACCTCAAAGAACCGAGAGACTCGGGCAACCCCAGGGAGACAGACGTGACTGAGCCAACAGACTGGTGGTCAAACTCTGAACCAGGAGCTTGAGGAACATGGGAGGGTGGTCCAGGCTCTGCCAGGCCGAGCAGATGCGTCCCCAGGACCTCCCTCCCTTGGCGTCGGTACCTCCCGCTCTCTGCAGTGAGGTAGGGGAACCAGGAGACCTGGGGGTGGAGTGTGCCTCTCTGCCTCCCGTGTGAACTGCAGAGAGGTAGGTGGAGAAGCAGAAGAGGTGCTCTTCAGCAAGCCCAGAAGCTGCCAGGCATCCCAGCCTAAACCAGACGCCACTGCTGGCCACGTGCGGGGAACATCTATGCTGTTCACCTTCAACACCGCTCGGCCAGGCAACTCCTTGGTCTTACTGACCCGGTGTCAACATGCAGCACCGCTGTCTCTGAAACTGGCCCCGAGCTGTCTGGAGGTGACTATTTTGCCGACAAAGGCTCATTATTACTGAAAGCCAGTGGGCAGACTGGTCTCTTCTTTCCCAGGAGGCTACAGCAACGTAGCCACCTTTTGATCTGTCTCTGTCGTTACAGTCATTTCTTAGCCCACAGCCTCTCAGGGGAACCTATGTGTGAGTAAATCTTCCACTGTTAAGCATAACAAGGAAGTACTTTCACCAACCATCTCTGATAATCCAGACAGTATCCAAGAAAATAGAGGAAATCAGGCATAAAAAATCTCCATCAACTTTAACAACTGAAATACTTTACAAGATAGTGTGATGTCCCTAAAAGTCAGATTCTTACCATCTACAACCAAAGACTGATTTATTTTTTTATAATTTTTACAGAGCAAATACATTATAAATATTATAAATCTTCAAAAATTGAGATTAAACATAATTTTCTTTGAATGTATGTACTGTCACTCAAAAATTTCACATTCTAGGATATCAGTAATTACATCTTCCTCAAAGAAAACAGCTCACAGAACATTTCCCGTCACAAAAATCTTTGTTGCCAAATCAGCCACAGAGTGGCCCACAGCTTCTCAAATGTGTAACAAGGAAAGCTCTGCGATGCGTCCCTCGGAGATGGGTACTTGGTGGCCCACGGGACTTGAAGGGCAACAGGGATGGTCTTTACCAGAGCATGTCTGAGGGGCAGAACTGTTCTGTTCAACTAAAGAGATTCAAAATAAAGAACAGCTCCTACACACTTCCAACTGTTGGGGGAGGCACCCCAAACTGATATTTGGAAAGAGATTATCACTAGCTTAACCTATACCCCATCCCACTGGTAAAAGTCCTCAGTGATTTACACATTTTTTAGGTAAATATTCTCAGGCTATAGATAACCCTGAAACAAGGCATGGTATGCCAGCTGGACAAACAAAATCAATTTTGAGCCAACAGAATTATGAGCATGATGACAGAAGTCAAAGTGCTAATTCTGGGGTGGGGTGGTGAGGGGGCAATATGACAAGAGCAAGAAGACGGCAGCAACACAAGGCAAGGCTGTCTGTAGACAAGCTTTGGTGATGAAGAGACTGCTAACAACAGCAGGCACACGCCGATTTACAAAAGGCCAAACTTCAATTAGGTCTCCTGACCTGACCCAGTTTCCACTGACCAATAGTGTCTCAGCAGGTCTGCCAGCTTCGTCTGAGTTTACGTCTGGAGTGGATAAACAGGCAGGGACCAGGGAGTCACCGTCTCAGTTTCTGCCTCTCTCAACAGCAGGACCTTCCGATATCAAACTGGGGGTCTGGCAAGAGCTGCAAATGACATGTCTACAGGGGCCAAGTGAGTGACGAGAATGAAGGAGTGGGCCAGGCTAGGACCAAAGGGATCATACATCTACACTGAACTGCAGAGAGGATGCCCTGCCTACATGCTCAGCCACGGGGATCAAACAAAAAACACCTGTGCACGACTTGCCCCCCACCAGCTGCCAGCACACACCCCCAACTGAGAACAAATGGCTTCTTCTCCAGGAGGACCCGTGGCTGGATGGAGATGGACGTGTCACCACCTCTGCTGTCCGCTTTAACCAGGATCAAGTGGTCATATTTCAGACAATGACTTTGATTCAGCATTCTTATCTCCCTTCTCAGAGAAACTTTTTTTTCCCAGAGAAATATTTTAAGCTGTGGGGAATACCTCCCCCCTCTTTGAGAAATGCATACATTTTCAGAGCTTTTTTACTTTGAAGGAACACAACTGGGGTGCAAAAGTGAGGGTTCAACATGATTCCCAAAGTAGTCAGATCTGGCACAGGAGTCTTGACATTTAAATGAAACAGAAGACAAGACTGGCGACATACAAAAGCACCCCTCATCCTGGGGTCTCATGAGATGACTGGATATTTGGGAATTGTAAGTGGTTCTTTACCCAGTAGAACTTTGTAAGTTTCTCTTGTTGGATGAATATAAAAGCTACAAAGTCTCTGGAAGGTTCTAAGAGCTAAGGAAACACATACACATGTGCACATGCACAACAGAATTATCTAGTGCTCACTCACAACTTGCATCTATGGTCAACTAATTCATTGGCCAAACTGCAGTGAAACTGAGCAAAGTTACTTGTGCAACAGCAAAGTTATATGTAAACATAAATAGCAACAGGTTTATCAAGAGCCTCTGAGTTACTATCGGATGTTGTCCAAATAATGCACTTCTGGATACAGACAGTTCACAAGAAGAGCCAGGAAGCTTTTCCCATCCTGGAGGCAATGGCCAGGATGCTTTATAAATTGTGCAGCTTGCGATATCTGATCCTGGTATTCAACATACTGCTTACTCGATGTCAAGGATTCAAGAGCATTCAGAGCCTAAAAGACACGGGAGACAAGAGGGTTAACCACACGGATACATGTAACACGATTCCCGTGGGTGTAGCACACCTGCTGTTGTCATCTGGTGCAACTGGGAGCCTCCAGGGAAGCCTACAGAACTGGAGCTGGACTTCTTAAAGGCAGACACTGATTAGCCACAAGCAGAAGGAGGCCAGCAGCCCAAGCTTCTCTGGCTGCAGCCGCCTTCCATATCCCTCTTCCTGGCCTGTGCCGTTTCCCAGTCCTTCCCCGCTGGCTTCCTCCTTGTCCTCCTCGCGGTGCAGCCCTCCCCACCAGCACATCCTCTGCGCCTCTCCTGGAGCCTCACCCAGAAACCACAGGCATCGGTTACCTGTGAGACCTGTTTTAACGTGTTCTTGGGTTTGTTCTCAGATTACAAAGTAATGTCGTACTAAACCATAACTAGATAAAATTCAGAAGAAACCAGTGGCTAAGTGCTGCCGAGGGTGACTGATAAGGTCGCTCTGTCAGTCAACAAACACAGCAGACAGATCAAGCTCCTCTGGTTTCCACCCAACAGAAACAGCAATGATATTCCCATGCTTCTCTTCAGGAATAAAGAAAAACATTCTTTACTTCCATAATTTTAATTTTTCCTCCCTTCATACTGGGAGAAGAGAAAAAGGCTGTATTTAGAAAAAACAGGAAAAAAAAAAAAATCACAACAACGGTTCTTGGGGAGACGGGCAGGTTGGCCGCACCTAGGATTCTGAACATGAACCATGAAGTGCCCTTCTCACTTACGGGGACCACGGCACTAGAGGACACAGGCGCTCCAGTCAGGGGCTCTGTGACAACCTCGGGGGAGGGGTGGGCGGGAGGTGGGGGGAGGTTCAAGGAGGAGGGGCCAGAGGCACACCTATGGGGATTCATTCTGATGTTTGGCAGAAACCAACACAACACTGTAAAGCAATTATCCTTCGATTAAAAATAAATAAGTGAAAAAATAAGTAAATAAATAAATAAAAATTAATTTAAAAAAAGATGGAGGGGACATGTGTATACCTATGGCTGATTCATGTTTATAAATGGCATAAACAAACACAATACTGTAAAGCAATTGTCCTCCAATTAAAAATTTTAAACTAAATCAATAATAACAACAATCAAAAGAAGGAATTCTCTTGGCTCAGTAAATAAGGAGGGAGAAGATTTGGGGGTGGGGGTGGGGGATGGTAAATGAAAAGCAGCTTAGAAATAAGTTACCAAGTGGTTTAAGACAGAAGTTTTGGGTTGAAAATAAACAATGGAGGGGATTTTGGTACCAAGCTAATAGCTGTGTGAAAAGAATTAATCCAAGAACAGGAATCAGTAGGGACAGACACTCCCACTGACCACAGCTTCCATCTGTCTCTCCCCCACCCCACATACCTTCCTTCCTTTTTAAAAGAATAGGCTACTTTGACAGTTTGCCTAAGAGTAATCATTTTATTAAAAGATGAAGTCTGAAAACCCAGACGACAAGCATGTCATCACTGTAAATCTAAAGGAAGGTCGTCAAAGCCTGCCAAGCAAGGCCTGGGGGACCTGCCGGCCACAGCTAAAGCAAAGCCATGCCCCAGCTGCTAGTGGGTACAGGCGAGCAGACTTCTCAAATGCAGCCTGAAATGCATGTCACTGACTTCATGACCGTCCCCTGGGACACTCACCTGCCCACCTGTGACGGCTCTTATATGATATTAGGGATTCAAATGGTGGCTGTCTAACTGATCTGTGACAAAACATCACGTACTGTATAAATCAGGATACCTATGAAGAACCAGCTAATTTTTTCCCTTGATCTTTGCTCTTACTACTGAGATATCTACTATACACGGCTGACTCAGACATGACAATGCTGCAGAAGACAAGAGCTACGAGGTCTAAGTGTTTCCTGTGTACAGACACAGTCCAGCAGAGTGGCAAGAGCTCAAAGCTGGGTCCAGACAGGCCCAGGGAATCCCAGCCCCAGCCCTTAGTGGCTGTGTGATCCGGGACAAATTCCTTAGCCTCTTTCTGTCTGCATTTCCTCATCAACAAAACAAGGATAATGAAAGTTCCTGTTGTTTAGCGTTGCTATGAGAATTAGAAGAGTTAAACCTTTTAACTCGTTAACATCAAGGAAGTTAAAACTCATAACAGTGCCTGGCAAGCAATAAGCACTCAAGAATGAAGGCTATCATTTTGTATTATGTACCTTTCTACTGTTTATGGGTGAAAGTAGTTATGGGAATAGGACTGCTACCATATGGCCTTCCACATTTTTAGTACAAACTGTCATTTTTCACAGCTACCATTTTGTCCATGTCAGATACCACGGACAGTGGTCAACCCCCAGACTCACAGGAACCACTCCCTTGGTTCCAAGCTGAAGTTCAGCTAATGTCCATCGGTCTCAACTGTAGTCTCGCCCTCTGTGACTGTCCCCAGAACCAGCATGTGATGCATCAGCACACAGTCACGTCATCAGAATCAAAGATGACCCTAGGCTGGCTTGCCCATGATCTTGCTTCTTCTACAAGGGTAGTAACAGCACTCTGGGCAAGGGCCTACAAAAACTGGTTTAAAATCCAAGGCAGGCACACGCGGTCACTATTTTCCAGTAAGCAAAGTCCACCAGAGGGCATGCTATCCTGCTGTCGATAACCGTCATCAGGTCCTCACATGTAAAAGACCACAGCTGCCACCTTCCCTCCTCCTGTGGAAAACTTCTAACCCTTAACCATGAAGTTTTTTACTGACCTGCTGAGCTTTCATGGTCAGATATAACTCGGAGCTGGGCTTCAAGCGGATCTGATCCTCGGCAGGAACCTGAACTGAAAGGAAGGTAGCCATGCTTCGGGCAGCCACTCGGAACCTTAGGTGTTAGGGAAGAATTAGAGGAAGTAAATGACTATTTAGATAAGCATTATATAACAAACATCACATTTTCTATTAAAAAAAAAATAAGTTAAACATATTTCCAGACCTGCTGCTACTATTAGCCCCTTTGGGAAAATTATAAATATGATCAAAGAGTCTTTATAGTCCTTCCATTAGATATAGCATAACTGAAACACTCAGCCACTGCTGGTAGGAGTGTTATAAACGGTGCAGGTGCTATGGAGAATAGTTGGGCAGCCTCAAGAAGTTAAATATAAAGAAACACCATGACTCAACAATTCCAAAAGAACTGAAAACAGGTGTTCTAACAAAACCGTGTATGTGACTTTCACAGCAACACTATTCACAACAGCCAAAGAGTGGATACAACCCAAATGTTTATCAACTGATGAATGAAGTTGCATCTACACAATGGAATGCTATTCAATCATTAAAAGGAAATAAGTACTGGTGCATGCTAAACTACGGATGAGCCTTGAAACTTCATTAAGTGAAAGAAGCCAGACATAAGAGGCCATGTATTGTATGATCCCATTTATGTGAGATGCCCAGAAGAGGGTATACATAAAGCCAGAAAATCCAGAGAGGCTGCCAGAGACTTGGGGGAGAGGCGAGAGAGTGACTGCTTAGCAGGTACAGGACTTCCTTCTGGGATGACGAAAATGATCTGGAACAAAACAGTGGTAATGGCTGCAACAATGCTCTGAATGTACTACATACCACTGAACTGTACATTTTTTTCTTTCTTTTTTTTTTTTTTTGTTTTTGGCTGTACTGCATGGCATGTGGGATCTCAGCTCCCCAAACAGGGATCGAATCTGTGCCCTCTATAGTGGAAGCATAGCGTCTTAACCACTGGACCCCAATGGAAGTCCCTGGACTATACATTTTAAAAGGGTTAACATGATAAATTTTATGTGCCATGTTTTACAATTTAAGTGAATCAAATCACACTTAATTTAGTAAAAATCGTATCAAATTTAGTCCTGCTAAATTCTACCATAAACAAAGAAGCATGATGTAAACTGGTTTGGACTGGGTCGTTATTCCATAAGAAAGCTGACATCAGAATAGTATGGGAATGTTTTTCAAACCAGCTAAGACCTTTAGCAGAAAAACCACGGTACAAATAAGTCTTAGAGGATAAAATGGGACTAATAGCAAATTCTTTCACACTTTGGAATTTTTAGCAACAAAAACCTGAATTTATTTCTCATTACTCATCCTTCTAATCAGTTAACTTCCACTCATCTTGACTTAACAATTCTGCTAGACCAAGTCCCTCACAGAACCTGGGTTTCCCTGACAAAGTGCTGGCAGTGTAGCAGCTGAGCAGGTATTTTAACCTAACACTGCGCTGGCTCAAAGGCAAAAAGCAATGAGTAGTGTGGTCAGGTTACAAAGTCAAAAGACAATGAGATACTGCTAAAAAAAAAAAACTTTGAACATAAAAGTTGTTTTAAAATGGAAAAATAAACATCCTTTTTAAAATATAAAGGTGTAATCAGGCTCTGATAGTTTTCTTATTAATCTCCAGAAGGAACCTAGCCCCCAAACAGAATATCTACCTAGTATCATGTCCCCTAGGCAGGTGCACGTGTCTGAGGCCCACTTACAAGAGCAGCGGCAGATGCCTCCTCACCTGTTGGACAAGGGTGACTTCCGGCCCAGCCCAATTGCCCCGAGAATCCCTGAGCTGAGCCTCTCCTCAGCCAACAGGTTCTGCCGGCCTTGAAGCATAAGCAGGATTCGAATGACAGACTCTGTCAAGACCGAGTCATTCTGCTCTGTCTGAACCAGAGACAGCTGCAGGACCTGGTGCCACCAGAGAAACAGCTTTGCTTCTTCCTGCATAGAGCTGAGGGTTTGGGGGGCAGGGGGAGAATCAAATTAGGAAGAGATTCTTTCCACTCTCATTTAACCAGAAGTCCACATGGGAGCTTTCAGTATTAGGGACATTTCGCCCTTTCAAAGCTTAGGTTGGCAAGTTACGATGTTGATAAAGTGCTGGGACAGTAAAGGAGCAGCTGACATTTACTGCCCCTTCTACATGCCAGTCGCCATATATGAGCTCGATGTCCTTATAATCAAGTGAGATTAACGCTGCTACCCCTACCTACTCAACTGAATCAAAGCTAAAGGTGTGCTTCAAAAATGCCTGTTTTAGGAAAGCAAAAGCCTGCTCAGAAAATCGGTCCATGCAAGCAAAATCTTCCCAATGTTTCTTATGTATCACCTGGGTCTCTGCACTGAAATGGACACTAATCTAAGCCCCAATTCCCAGCTATCCCAACCTGTGGGTTGGCTGTGGCAACTGGAGGGTCAGCATACCTCGGATACACCTGTTCCAACCACCTGCTTAAGAGAAGCAGCACTTTCATTTCATTCCTTAGTGTCTGCTCGCTATTTAGACACTGCAGCAGGTAGACGTAGAGAGTCAAGTAGCTGCCAAGGGACAGGCACTCCTGCAGAAACTCTTCAGTGGTGAGCTCGGGAACCTGAAGGGACACCAGAATGGGGCCCCATCCTAGATTCTGGTTGAGGGAGCCTAAGAAAAGAACACCGAGAGGAGAGAACAAGGTAAGAGCAAGAATCAAACTACCTAACTGCTCTAATGAACCTTTCACTTTAAAATTTAAAAGCTTTATGTTGAGAAAACACCACTCACATTGGCCTCGGAGGGCCTGACAGTGTCTCACGGTTTGGACTGCAAACCCTCAAACTTAATGCCTGTGTCCTGGCTGCCAGTGCAGAGGGTTAAGAAGTCAGGCGTTGTGGCTGCATTTTCATAAATCCCTCTCTCACCATACTATGACCATTAAAATCACAGACACTGCCTATCCCGGTCATCTAAGAATTTTAACTTTACTGAATACCATTTTCAAGTATGTTACGAACACTTCAGCTTTTCTGGGGGATATTATTATTACTTTATATTGGGGTCCTTTAATGGACCGGAACCTGGTGGTATGGAGTCGACAATAAGAAAGCAAAAGAGAGAAAGAGGCTGATATTCCCTGGTTTACGCAGAGGACCAATAAAGCCCTTGACACAGGACTTGCATTGCTCACGAAGGCACCAGGCACCCCCTCGAGGGGGTGAAGGCACAAAGGGCCTTTCGAGAGGGTCTTAGAAGCCAGGACAGGAAAGTGAGCATGACAGGTCTCCACGCTCCAGAGAATCAGCCAGAAAAAGAGAGACAGAAAGAGAAAGAGAAACAAAAAAGACACAGGGACCTAAGCTCTGATGGAGCAAAGGTGCTTTAATGATTTTTCTATGAGCAAATGTAGGCTGTGGTACAAGAAATTTCTTTCGGCAATGATAGAGATCAGAAAACCAAATGTGCAGTAACCATTACCAAGGGAACAAGGGATAACATGGTCACAAGGTCAGGAGACAATCCATATCTCAAGAAAGGGGAGCGAGACTAAGCAGTTTTGTCATAAAGAGAATGTTTACTAAAGGAGACCCAAGCCTGCCTCACACAGTGACCTCACTCCCTGGGAGCAGCGTGCTGTTCCGCTTGAAGAGGGACAAAGGGCTCATGAGAGACAGCACGTAGGAATCCTCCCGTTAAACACTCCCTGAAACTTTATCCATCAGAAGTATTTTTTTAAGCATCAAAGTTTCATTTGACTCCTATCTTAAATACACAAATTCTTGAAAATGCTTCATGAAGGGAAAAAATGAATTTGATTTCAGTAACAATTAGTAAACAAATCTGGAGCAAGAGGGTTATCCTGATGCTTCTCAGTTTTGGGGGCGGGAATGCGAGTACGGTGACATGGGGACAGCACAGAACTTTCCGCAGGGGGACATGGGAACATGGAGGCTCGTGTGCTGCCAAGGAAGGGCAGGGGCAGGTTACAGGCACCTCCCGGCATTCTCAGTCCAGTACTCGTCCTCCTCCCCTACCGTGGGCACGAGCATGTGTATCTGGGCATCAGAGTTAAGAGGTACTGCTCTGAGCAGTTCTTCTTAACCAGGCCAAGCTATTGCCAGAATCTGCAAGTTTACAGGTAGGAAATAAGAAAGACAAATCAGGAATGGGCATGGGGTAAGGGAGAGAACTTCTTCATAACAGTTAAAACATAGGACAAAAAGCAATAAAAGGACCTAAGAAAAATTTTAACAAGTGACAAAATAGAGGAAATTAATATAGTGGATAATTACAAAGATTCTGGTTTATAGCATTTGCTTTTAGGACTATGACTAGGCCTATGACAGACACAATTTACCTATCACAAGAGGATTGGTCTGACACTACAAAACCCCTCATTTTAATGAGTTAGAGGTTCCCTTCCTTGAAACAATATGGTAGCAACATGGACCAAAGGTTGTCTTCATGAAGAAAACAAACTATACCCTGAAACATCAACAACATTTACAGAGATATCAGAGAGGTACAATCGTCCAACGGGAAGGGTCTGGAAGGGTATCTCCTTCAGTGAGCGCACTCAGTCGGCTCAGTCATGTCTGACTCTTTCTAACCCCAGGGACTATAGACTATAGCCCATCGGGCTCCTCTGTCCATGGGATTTTCCAGGCAAGAATAATGGAATGGGGTGCCATTTCCTACTCAAGGAGATCTTCTCAACCCAGGGATTGAACCTGTGTCTCTTGCATCTCCTGCATTGGCAGGTGGATTCTTTACTACTGAGCCACCTAATCGTCCTTGGAAAAGATGGATCAACTGAGAGCCTACTGAGGGTAAGAGGGTGCCCTTACCCTCTTTGAAGTAAGCAGTGATGCAGGCTTCCGTCGTCTCAGCCATGTGGCGGACAGAAGCCAGGCTCTGGCAGGCAGCTGTTAACAGTGGCAGCACCACCAGCCCGTGCACTTTTTGCCCGATCCAGGTCCGGATACTGCCTCGGAGGAACTCTGCCGTTGGGACAGTTGCGTTGTTCATCATCATTAGGACTTCCATGAAGAGGCTGCTGAGGGCCATGTGGCGGGTCTGGCTATCCAGATCTAAAAGGGAACACAGACACATACCTGCAAAAGGCTGCTGGTATGATGACATGAACGTGATAAAGGGGACAACAGTGTTTCAAACTAGCTGCTCTTCAGGGGCCAGAAAGAAAATCTTGGATACTGCTTAGATTTTACGGATAGGATGTGTCATATAAATACTTTGAAGAGCAAAGCAGGAACTACTGCAAGACCTTAAAACCTTTTTTCCCCTCAATTTTTCCTAATTTTTTAAAAAAATTATTTTTTATTGAAGCGTAACTGACCTACAATGTTGTGTTAATTACTAACATACAGCAAAGTGACTCACATACACACACACATACATTTTTTCATATTCTTTTCTATTATGGTTACCACATGATATTGAATTTAGTTCCTGGTGCTATACAGTAGGACCTTGTTTATCCATTTTATATATACCAGTTTGCATCTGTGAATAATGATTTCAATCTATCTTTTAATACAACTCATGGGAACAAAAATGATTCCAATAAGCCTCCTAATAGATCGCAGCCTCTCCCCTTCCCATTCAGCATCAACTGAGCCAACAAATATTTTCTTAAAAATCAGAACTGATCCTGATTAATGTTTCTAGTGTGCCAGTCTTGTAATTAAGATGTTTCTAGAACGCCTTTGCACTCATCTCACACACTAGTAAAGTAATGCTCAAAATTCTCCAAGCCAGTTCAACAGTATGTGAACCGTGAACTTCCAGACATCAAACTGGATTTAGAAAAGGCAGAGGAACCAGAGATCAAACTGTCAACAACCGTTTGGATCATCAAAAAAGCAAGAGAGTTCCAGAAAAGTATCTACTTCTGCTTTATTGATTATGCCAAAGACTTTGACTGTCTGGATCACAACAAACTGTGGAAAATTCTTTAAGAGATGGGAATACCAGTCCACCTGACTAACTCCTGAGAAATCTGTATGCAGGTCAAGAAGCAACAGTTAGAACTGGACACGGAACAACAGACTGGTTTCAAACTGGGAAAGGAGTACGTCAAGGCTGTATATTGTCACCCTGCTCATTTAACTTATATGCAGAGCACATCATGAGAAACGCTGGACTGGATGAAGCACAAGCTAGAATCAAGATTGCCAGGAGAAATGTCAATAACTTCAGACATGCAGATGACACCACCCTTATGGCAGAAAGTGAAGAAGAACTAAAGAGCCTCTTGATGAAAGTGAAAGAGGAGAGTGAAAAAGTTGGCTTAAAAGTCAACATTCAGAAAACTAAGATCATAGCATCTGGTCTCATCACTTCACGGCAAATAGATGGGGAAAAATTGGAAACAGTGACAGGCTTTACTTCTGGGGCTCCAAAATCATTGCCAATGGTGACTGCAGACATGAAATTAAAAGACACTGGCTCCGTGGAAGGAAAGTTATGACCAACCTAGACACCATATTAAAAAGCAGAGACATTACTTTGCCGACAAAGGTCCGTCTAGTCAAAGCTAGGGTTTTTCTAGTAGTCATGTACGGATGTGAGAGCTGGACTATAAAGAAAGCTGAGTGCCAAAGAATCGATGTTTTTGAACTGTGGTGTTGGAGAAGACTCTTGAGAGTCCGTTGGACTGCAAGGAGATCCAACCGGTCCATCCTAAAGGAGATCGGTTCTTGGTGTTCATTGGAAGGACTGATGTTGAAGCTGAAACTCCAATACTTTGGCTACCTCATGTGAAGAGTTGACTCATTTGAAAAGACCCTGATGCTGGGAAAGATTGAAGGTGGGAGGAGAAGGGGACCACAGAGGATGAGATGGTTGGATGAGATGGATCGAGTGATGGACATGAGTTTGAGTAAACTCTGGGAGTTGGTGATCGACAGGGAAGCCTGGCGTGCTGCAGTCCATGGGGTCACAAAGAGTCGGACATGACTGAGAGACTGAACTGAACTGAGAATGTCTTTCACTGCTTTGCCTGGCTATTATTCAATCTTCATGGCCCAGTTACATGCAACCAATTCTAAATCAATTTCTCTAGCATTGCCAGCTAATTCTTCTGTTTAGGTTTGTCATAGCTTTCCTGCCAAGAAGCAATCATATTCTGATTTCATGCCTGCAGTCACCGTCCACAGTGATTTTAGAGCCCAGGAAGAGGAAATCTGTCACTGCTTCCACATTTTCCCCTTCTTTTTGCCATGAGGTGATGGGGCCAATGCCATGACCTTAGTTTTTTTGATATTTAGTTTTAAGCCGGCTTTTTCACTTTCCTCCTTCACCCTCATCAAGTTCTTTAGTTCCTCTTCGCTTTCTGCCATTAGGGTGGTATCATCCGCACATCTGCGGTTGTTGACGTTTCTCTTGCCAGTCTTGATTCCAGCTTATAACTCATCCAGCTCAGCATTTCTCATGATGTCCACTGACAGGTGAATGGATAAAGCAGCTTTGGTACATACACACAACAGAATATTACTCAGCTATAAAAAGAAACACATTTGAGTCTGTTCTACTGAAATAATGAAGATGAACCTAGAGCCTATTATATGGAGTGAAGTAAGTCAGAAAGAGGAAGACAAACGTCATATATAAAAGCACATACATGGAATTTAGAAAGATGGTACTCATGACTCTATTTGCAGGGCAGCAAAGGAGACGCAGACAGAAAGAACAGACGTTCGGACACAGTGAGGGAAGGTGAGGGTGAGATGGTTTGAGAGTCGCGCTAAAACACATACATTACCATATGTAAAATAGATAGCCAACTGGAACAAGGCCAGTGCTATGTGATAACTTAAAGAGGTGAGGGGGGATGGAGAGGGAGGTGGGAGGGAGGTTCAAGAGGGAGGGGACATATGCATACCTATGGCTGATTCATGCTGATGTATGACAGAAACCTTCACAGTATCGCAAAGCAACTATCCTCCAATTAAAAATAAAATATTTTAAAAAATAAAAATGGTTGTATCCACTTACTCTGTACTTAGCAGTATATGAGAGTTATGCTGCTGATACACATCTTCACCAACACTTGGTATTGAAACCTTTTTATCTATTCTCATGGGTGTGACAGAGTATATCATCAAGTTCTTAATTTACATCTCCTTGAATATTAACAAGGTTTAGTATGTTTTCACACGTTTATTGGTTATTTGACTATTCTCTTTTATAGCATGTCAATTTAAGGGTCTGGTTCATTTTTTTCCTACTGGGTTGTCTTTTTCTTCCTTATTGTATCCACTGTGACAATTGTAGTCATATTTAATGTAATTACTGATGTGCATGCTGTGTTAAGTCGTGTCCGATTCCTTGTCACCCCATGGACTGTAGCCCACCAGGCTCCTCTGTCCATGGGATTCTCCAGGCAAGAATACTGGAGTAGGTGGCCATGCCCTCCTCCAGGGGATCTTCCTGACCCAGGGACTGAACCCCATCTCTGATGTCTCCGGCACTGGCAGGGGGGTTCTTTACCACTGGAGCCACCTGGGAAGCCCATCTTAATTACTGTGCGTGCATGCTAAAGTCGCTTCAGTCGTGTCTGACTCTGTGTGACCATAGCCAGCCATCAGGCTTCTCTGTCCATGGGATTCTCTAGGCAAGAATACTAAAGAGGATTGCCATAACCTCTTCCACGGGCTCTTCCCGACCCAAGGATCAAACCCACATCTCTTATGCCTCTCACATTAGCAGGCAGCTTCTTTACCACTAGTGCTACCTGGGAAGCCCATCTTAATTACAATATGCTTCCAATTTGTTCCTCCTGGTCTACATTCCTTTTACTCTCTTTTATTTTTTTAAGGGATTAATTCTTGTTTTTTCTACTTTTTCTTTAGTTTGGAAGTTAAATATTCTTTTTAAAGAATATTGTTAAATATTCTTTTTAAATTAAATAACATTTTCGTAGTGGTTATCATACAAATTATATCATGTATTCTTGAAAGTCTGAGGTTGGTTGGCTCCCAGACAATGTTAATGAAGTCAGACTTCATTTAGATTTACCCTTATATTTACCAGTTTCATTGTTCATCCTTAGTCTCCTATTTATCTTCTCTTTATTATCTTCTTCTTTCTAAACAGATTTTGATTATATTTTATGGTTCTTTTTATAATATCTTAAGCTCAATGTTTAATAAATTTTGATGTTCTTTCTTAAAATCAGTTCTAAATATTTTAAGTTTCTATTATTGTTCCTTTGGCCATCAGTTACTTAAAAGTTTGCTTCTTCATTTCCGATGTACATTTTTTTCCCCTCTTGGTTGTATTTTGTTACTGACTTTTAAGTTCACTGCACTGCGGTTAGAACATGTAACCTATTTGATACCTGTCCTTTAAAACTGATTAAGACATGTTTTGGGGCTCCCCAGGTGGCACAGTGGTAAAGCATCTGCCTGCCAATGTAGAAGATGTGGGTTTGATACCTGAGCCAGGATGATTCCTTGGAGGAGGAAATGGCAACCCGCTCCAGTTCTTCTTTCCTAGAAAATTTCACCAACAGAAGAGCCTGGTGGGCTACACTCCATGTGGTCCAAAGAGTTGGACATGAGTGAGTGACTGAGCATGCACAGAAGACATGCTTTAATCCTAGTAATGCGTCGAGTTTCTTAACTGTTCCGTGTGAGACTGACACAGTATGCATTCTATACTTACAGGGTGTATCACTCTCTACATACTCATTGCGTCCAACTGTGGTACACAGACATCCCACAGTCTTACTGATTTTCTGCCTACGTGATCTATCAGTTACTGTCAGACATGTGTCAAAATCTCTATGAGTGAATTTGACATTTTTCTTCCTAGTTCTGTCAATTTCCACGTTATGCATTTTCTTCCTGGTGAATTGAACCTTACATCAATTTCCAGTGACTCTCTTCTTTTTTAATAATTTTATTTATATTTATTTATTTTTGGCTGTGCTAGGTCTTTACTGCTGTGTGGACTTTTAATTGTAGCAAGCAGGGGCTACTCTCTAGTTCCAAAGCACAAACTTCTCATTGTGGTGGCTTTTCCTGTTGCAGAGCACAGGCTCTAGGGCGTGTGGACTTCAGCAGCTGTGGCAGGTGGGCTTTAGAGCAGAGCCTCAGTAGTTCTGGCACAAGGGAATAGTTGTTCTGTGGCATGTGAGATCTTCCCAGATCAGAGATCGAACCCACGTCCCCTGCATTGGTAGGTAGATCCTTTACCACTGAGCCACCAGGAAAGCCCTCTTTATTTCTAATAATGCTTTTTTCTTATTTATGTATGTATTTTTCATGCAAATCTAGGGTGGGAAAACACACTGGAGATCATTTGGCTTTGTAATGCTTCCTACCTTATAGTCCTATCTCATATTGATACAGCAATATCAGCTTTCTATTTTAATCTGCCTAATGTGACTGCCTTGTAGAAATCCTTCTATATCCCATGATTTAGATATACTTATGAACAGCTTAAAACCAGATGTTGTTGATTATCAATCCAATCTGACAATCTCTGTCTTTTAACTTGACCACCTGCCCATTCATATTTACCAATATATATTAAATTTTATCTTTTTATTTTGACTATTTTTCTCACCTTTTCCATCTTTCTTTAATAAATTTATTTTTCATTGGAGGATAACTGCTCTACAGTGTTGTGCTGGTTTCTGCCATAAAACAACGTGAATCAGCCCTAAGTATACATATATCCGTTTCCTCTTGAGCCTCCCTCCCACCCCCAGCCCATCTCATCCCTCTAGGTTGTCACTAGGCAGTGACACTGGGCAGGCTCCTTCTGTTATACAGTACCTTCCCACTAGCTATCTATTTTACACACGGTAATTTATATGTCAGCAGGACTCTCTCAATTCGTCCCACCCTCTCCTTTCCCCACTGTGTCCAAAAGACCGTTCTCCACATGCTTCTTGCCTTCACTGGATTGAATGTATTTTGGTCAATCCTTTTTATCTCTTTCTACTGACTTAGAAATTACATATTTTCTTTCTTTCTTTAGGTGAATTGCTTAGAATTTTTACCATTCATATTCTATCAAGACACACATTTAACCAATTTCTTGACCCCCTCAAACAATATTAAAACCTTAGAATGCTTTTAACTCAACTCCCTTCCTAACTTATATATATTTGTAGTCATATAATTTAATTTTAGCTTTTGCTTTTTAAATCCCTAAATGATGATAACTATAGGTTTATATCAGCAGTTTTGTTTATATTTACCCATATTTCATTGCTTTCACTTCTGGTCACTGCACTTCTACCTAAAGAACATGCTCTATTTAATACTTCCTTTAGTGATGTCCACTGGGACAAACACTCTCAGGTTTCAAGGAAAACATCTTTATTTCATCCTTATCCTTGATTATTTTACAATCCCAGGTTACAAGCCATCTCCTCACAGCACACTGAAGGTGCTGTTGCACCATCTTACAGTTTCCACTGGCGCCACTGAGAAGCCAGCTGTCCATGTGAATGTTTTTCTTTCTTCACCGGTGCTTCTGCAGTCTCACTACAGTATGTACAGGTATGAATTCCTATTTACCTTGCTTGGGATTTGCTGGGTTTAACGAACCTAAGGATTGCCATCTTCTTTTCTCAGAGCAGGTTCATTTCTAACTCATCCTTACCCTGAGGATGCTGTCCTGTGGTTCTGCATGGGAGCTCCTTTCAAGGCTCCCAGCCTAGGCAGGGCCTGGGTTTTATAGCCTCCCCTAAGCCAAAGAAGGTCAGTAAAAGCCTGCAAGCTAAAAGGCAGCCTCAGCACTCCATCTATTTTCATGGGCTCCTCCTTTCACTTACTTTCTGACTTCTGAGATTTTCTGCCAACTTGTCAATAAGTTTAATCTCTGGTTTCTTAAAAACATTTTATTTATTCAGCATTCTAAGCTGTTTTTAGCAGAAGAGGCAGTCAGGATGTCCAGTTTACCAAACTGCTAGGAGTATAAGTTCTCATATAAAGTTCCCTTACAAGCCTACAGGTGATTCTGAAGTGCCCTCCAAGTTCAGAGCTAAACATCCAGGAATGCTGCTCACTGGACAGTCCCCGGTTCTCTCTTAATCATCACAGTGACTTGTCTAACTCAGCCCTCAGTCCACCTAACCTCACAGCAGCAGCTGACAGTATCTACCCCTCCCTCAAGTCCTTACAAGTCAGGCCTCCCCCCATGCTGAGATGACAAGTGTCCAGGCATCAGCCTGACCACTGCTTCTCTGCAAACAGAATGACAGTGTCCTGACCATCATCCTGATCTCAAAATGTCTTACACACAGCAGGAAATGATTTACTGAGTGAATACATGACTTCTCCAAAGTCACTTACCAGGTGGGTTAAAAACGATGATATCATCCAAGAGCTTAGACATTTCCTGTTCAAGGACTGCTAAGGTGATTTTTCCATTTTGTTCCAGGGAGCTGAGGAACTGAACCATCTGATGAGTGAAGGCTCGGCATTTTGGAACTGCATCCTGACAATAAAAAAACGATCATTCAAATAAGTCCATGCCAACAGTGTTACCTGAATGTTCCCTGGGAGCACAGCACTGCACTGACTGCCCCAACAGGGAGTGGGAGGACAGCGCAGGGAGCCCGGTGAGGACAGGTGTGCCCAAGGGCCCTGCACTGGGGGAGCAGAAGTCTCATCACACTCAGACTGGAACCCACATTCTCCCAAATCCCAGCAGCAGTTTTTACTGCATTAATAACATTAACCACACACTAAGTACTTGCCAGGAACTTTTCCAAAAATTTTATGTTCACTGCCCAATCTGATCTTCAGAACACATTAAAGGTGAGGTGTTACTTTCAGTTCAGCTGAGAAAGTCAAAGAATGACAGTGAGCTGGGGATATGAGTTTGTCAGCTCTTAAACTCATGTTCATTATTTGCTGCCATTCTGTTGCCAATGACACTCAGATCAGCAAACCAATAGCCCACTGCTGTCCCCTAATCCTTTTCACCTCTTGTGAGCATGTGGCACTGCTAGCAGGTAAAGGCTTACTAGGAGAAATAAATGAAACTGAAAGTCACCAGAAGCCAAAATGACATAGGATCCTTCAGCTTTTTCTGCTGAGCCACTGCAGGGTTTAAGACAGTCCTCAGCAGCACTAACACTACCAACCCTGAAGAACACTCTGCCTTCCACAGCATGCACTTAACTTACAAGATGTTTCTGGCTGTCAGTAGGAACAGAAAGGCCTGCAGACACTTTCAGGAGCTTCACAATTAATTCAGCAGAAGATTCCTTTGCCAGGATGATAGATGGCTGGTAATGGCTGCTAAAATAACCCAGCACACTCTGATATGAAACAATATCCACAAGATGCCACGAGAGTGAGCTTGTCTGTCCAAGGAGAGTAAGTAGAGGAGAATCCTAAAAATGAAAACACACATTCCTTTAGTTCCAGCGCTCCCATTTTTCTAGAAATATGTCTTTACTGAGCCCATGGAGTGACCACTAACATTGCCTATTATGAGCATAGAACAGTTAAGACATCAAATAAGCTTCTGCTCAAGGCAGAAGTACTCATGAAAGTAATAACTGAAGTTTTGGCAAAACACATTAATGTTAAGATTTGTAAGTATTCAGAATCCAGTTTTCAAAGAAACTCTGTGATCTTGCAGTAGAACAGCAATTAATGAGATAAAAAACGAAACTGAGGTTAATATTATAACTTGGTGTGGTTGCCTTAGACTATGAACTGTCTGAGAAAACCAGGCAGCTAGTTGAAGGCACATCCCAGAGGCCATGCATCTATTCAAACCGGAAGAGGCACTAGGGAAACTGAAAAGCAGCAATTTCATACAGAGTGAGGATCTAAGGAACTCTGCCAAGTCTTGATCACAGGCTCTCCAAAAACTTACTGTTTGGTCCACCAGTTGATCTTCCTTTGCCAATAAAATCATCATGAAAAGGAGGCAGACAACCATGCCCCGCGTCTCTGGGCGGGGACTGGGACTCCAGGCATCAGAGAGCACACTGACCCAGTTGACTTCACAGAGAACAGACCCCAAAAACAAGAAGCAGCTCTTGGGGCTTCCTCGCTCCACCTAAAAGGAAACAAAGCTTTTAGCTATCTGTGTATCTTAAAAACGTATATACATCAATGTTTACTAAATTATATCTTTTAAATTATGCTTTCTCCCCAGATTATAAAAACTATTTATAACTCTATCTCCCACTCGAGAGATTTAGACTTAATATTTATTTTTCCTCCCATGTTCGATGTGTGGGAACATCTTTCAGCTTGTTTGGAGTTCATTATTTATTCCACTAGTTCTTAACAGGAGAGGAATGGTCTTTCCTAGCTCCAGGTAGGGTGACAAATCTCTGCCACAGTCAGTCACCGGTGCTCAAGGGAGCCTAACAAAGTCTTCAGATGTGCTGGCAAGACCAAGGTGATATATCCATTAGTCACTGCTGTCCAAAGCTGAATGTGCACCAGAACCACCCGGAGGACTTATCTGGGGATGGGGAGGGGGTGGGTAAATCCACAGAATTTTTAATGTCCTATATCTGGAGTTAACAAGTTCCCAGGTGGTTCTGATGTTGCTGGTCCTGGGACCATACTTCGAGACTATTATATTAGCATATTTAATTTTCATATGGCCTTTTTAGTATAATGTGACATTATAAGTACATCTCTGTATCATTAGTCTTCATAATTTTTTGATGACTGCATAATGTTTAATTAAGTCCTATTTAAACTATATTAGAGATGGGGGCAAATGTATTATAAAGTATTACTATATAATCAATATCAAAGTTATCTCTTATGAGTTCAAGACTCTTTAAAATATGTCTAGCTATAAATTTTCCTTTTTTTAAAAGATTAAAAAGCTCAACTCCATTTGTAAAATCACAATCAATGGAATCTGATGATGATTCATGTCTTCCAGTTACTACCATAATTATATCATGCTATTTACTCTTTTTCCCATGATTTTTCATCCTCCTTTATAATCTATTCTCTATCTTGACCCTCAACCCCCTCAAAATCATACTTTATTATGCCATCAAACTCATGGAACTAAAAGGTTCCCAGCTTCCGGGCAGGGCAGTCTTCTACCCTTAGACTAAAACTACTAGAGATACAAAGTCTATAGCAGCCCTTTATGGACCATTCTGTTTACTCTGTCATACAGCTAATGCTGCCCTCTTAAGTGCTCTCTTACAGCTCTTTAAACAAAGGTTCAATTCCATATTCACAATAATGACGAATATTTACGTAATGCCTGTCTCATATACTAAACCTAGCTATAAAATCATTTTTAACCTTGTATTTTACTAAGACAACTGTCCTCAGCTTTCCTTAGAGCTCAGCTACAGAGGCGTGGCTGACAAGAACACCACTGGAACACTAAAAGACTGCATTAGATTTTACTCAGTGTCATAAATAACTATGGATCTGCAATAATTAAAGCACTTACAGTGTCTCAATAATAAATGTGACATTAGGTTAACAGTGAACACAAATGAACTGGTAACTATGAACAAATAAACTGAAATGGTCATAAAAAGCTAAGACAAGATTAAAGACTTTTTTAAAATAGAAACTTAAGAACAGCAACAAAAATGCCAGACTGGTATGTAACACTACTGTGCCTATTTTCTGTTCCTATTGCTTCTACTCCAAAAACTCCCACACACTTATTTGGACTTTTTCCAGGCCATTCCAGGTCTTTATATGACTATGATGTATTATTGGCTGCTATAGTAACACTTCTGTCACCTATAACCAAATTATCCCTTACATAACTGCTTAAAGAAACTAATGCTTGAGTATCAACTTACATTTTACTTCAACAGAAATTTAACAATAAAAAGTTTTAATGATAGTATCATGGAAAAACATGCATACATGCATATACAGAAACACCAAGACTGAGTGTGACAACGTCATTACACTATGTACTGCCATGACAATATCACGAATGTCAAGGGGATGCTATATTACAGACAAAATCTTTCTGGGAGCTTTAAAAATGATCCTGTAAATGCTGTCTTACTAACACAGTAAAATGACATCCATGGGAAGCACCATCTAGGTGATGAAAAATGCAAGCAGGGTCCACACCAGCACACACAGCAACTGGGCCGAAAACCCACAATGAACAGGCTGCTCCCAAGACGCCAGGCTGTGGCATGCAAAGGGCTTACCTTGAAGAAGGCCTCCATGAGCATCTGGTCAGGATGCAGGTCCCGCCACGCAAGTTTCTGGTAGGCACTGTGAAAAGCATACAGGATGAACTCTGGCATTTTGGGCGCTGTACATGCTTCACAGTAATGCAGCAGGTGCAACCGAAGGGCGCTTTCATCACCAGGCAAGAGCTTATCTAAAATTGAAAAAGAAAATACAGCTGAATACCTTTGGGTTTATCTTTAACACAAACAAAACCCTAACACAAACCACAAATTTGAACTAGCAGTCTAAAAACCTAATGTTCTCAATAATCACCCAGCTTCAGAGATTTTCACCTACCAGAGAAAAAACTGATGGCAGAGTAATAAGAATGGTAATCTACTTACTTGGGTAACTGGAAGGAGCAGGTGACATGTGGGAGATAGCAGAGGTGATCAGTTTGTCCCTAAAACTTCTAAATATATGGCTTTTCACTCAAATACACCTCCACAAGCCCAGCCACCTTTAGGCAACCCTCTAGTCTGCTGCCCTTGGCCATGGACTCAGTCTCATGCACTTGACACTCCATTCATCAGGCACCTTGGAGAAATCTAACGTGCCCTGGAGAAATCTACTGTTCCTCAAAAGGAAATATTCCAAATAACTAAATCTCAACCCTTGGTGAAGTAAAACTAGACTGTTAACCATCATTCTAGCAAGTCACTTGAAAATGAATCTCACACTCTTCTGCGACCTGATCACTCAGCATTAACCTCACAAGTATCCATTACTTGAGTGCCTTCAACAGCTAGTGGCAATATAAGGGGGATTTAGTCTAAAACAAATTTTTTCAGACTTTCTGATTCTATGCACAGGAATGGAATTTAGTCAAAGAAGAGGGAGTTACACACAATGAGAGCAGTTTCTCAACACTGACCAATGGGAGTTTCTCAACACCGACCTGTGAAAAATGACCGACGAGCATCAATACACAGTACCAGTCAACTTATCACTAACATTCCTGTGACCTCAATCCTCAGTCCTTATGAAACAGTAACATATCCTTTTAACAACCTTTTAAAACAGAAGTGAAGGGTAGCATTTGTTTAAATATGGACAGAAAAAAGAGAGTTTTGTTTAAATAGGATGGATATGTAGGAGAAGATGTCTAGGAGGTAATCTCTTAGGACCAGAGGAACTCCTCTAGTCCCAGCCCAGATACAAATAAGTTCTGTGACCTCAGATGAATTTTTTGATTTTCAGGTCCTCATTTTTCTCATCAATAAAAGCAGAGAGCTGAATCAGACAATCTCACTAAAAGGCTATAATTTAATAATTCCTCATATTGTTATGCACAGTTCTTCTGTGTGCTCTCTCTGAAGTGAGCTACCCTAGGGTCATACCACCTTGAACACACCCTATCTCATCTGAACTGAGCTACCAATTCTTAATGTTAGCCATGTACTTTCTTATTTCTAGGCCACTTTTTGATTTTCTATACACAGACCTGTGACAGTGCTTGCCCCTTTATACTAAGAAACTAAACAAACAGCCTCTGTGACAATAGTGTTATGCTCAAATATTTGCCTCACTACAAGTCTGCCTTTCCAAAAGAAACCAAAAAGAGTACTATTAGGATTTACTCACTGAACTAATACTTATCAAGCAGACACTGAGAATACAGCATTATCCTAATCTTAGGGGAATGAAAAGAAGAATGTTTCTGTGCCTAGAGTTTATATCATAACTGGGGGAGGGAGAGAGATAAGATATATAAAGATCAATCAAAAATACTGGATGAGGTATATCTAGAGAATGGAATATTATTCAGCACTAAAAAAGAAGAAAGCTATCAAGTCATGAAAGAAATGGAGAAACCTAAGTGCACATTACTAAGCAAAAGAAGCCCACCTGGGAAAGCACCATAATGAATGATACTAACTACGTGACATTCTAGAAAAGCTAAAACTATGGAGAAAGTAAAAGAAATCAGTGGTCTCCCAAGACTAGTGGGGAAGGAGGGGTGACTAGTAGAGGACAGAAGATATTCAGGGCAGTGAAAATACACTGTAGGATACTGTAATGGTGGACACACACCATTATACATTTATCCAAACCCACAGAATGAACAACACCCAGCACGAGTCGTATGGACTTTGGACTCTGGGTGATAACGTGTCAGTGTAGGTTCATCAACGATAACAAATGTGCCATTTGGATGGGAGATGGCGATAGTGGGGGAGTTGGAGGGGAGACTATGCACTCAGAGCAGGAAGCAAAGGGTATATGCAAATGCTGTACTTTCCACTCAATTACGCTGGGAACCTAAAGCTATACTAAAAAAAAGTCTGTTTTTATATATATATAAGTATTATTAGATGACAAATTATATATATAACACATATATTACTGCTATATATATTAACATGTATTATTGCTATATTATATATACATATTATTATAATACATAATCTATCATCTGATGTTATTGTATATAAAATACTGGATGCATGTGTGTGTGCATGCATGTTCAGTTGGGTCCAACTCTTTGCCACCCCATGGACTGTAACCTGCCAGGCTCCTCTGTTCATGGGATTTCCCTTGCAAGAATACTGGAGTGGGTTGCCATTTCCTTCTCCAAAATACTGGATGATATATTCTTAACTCCAGGACTCAGTGCCACATAAACACATGGCCGCCATGGAGGTGCACCACTCAGATCTCCCTTCAAACAGAACTTGCCACAGATCAGGCTACAGCACTTCAGCACCTGAGTCAAGGCCATCCTCCTCCCTTGAAGCCCTCAGCCAACAACTGAGCACTGACCTGGGCACTTCTGCCAAGGGTGGACTCCTCAATAAAGAATCATTGCACTCCAACGCCCCATTTGGCTGGCCAAAACTTTCTCAGATCTGCCCTGCAGACTGAGACTCTTCCTTCCTACTCTCCTTTCACAGGTGTTATACTTGCACCAGAGGTGAAGGCTTTGCTTGCCTACCTCTATTCCTCTCCCTCTTATTTTCACAGGCATCACCCCCAACACCTCTTAGCATTCTGGCTCCATCACGGTGTCTGCCTCCCACAGATCTGAACTGCAACAATGTGCTATAAAGACTTAGAAACAGGAGAGAAATGTACCCACATAAACAAATACACAGGAATATAAAGGGCCTGAGGCTTCACCCAGGTAGCAGAATCAGCATAAGCAAAAAAGTGGCAGTGGGAAAGTCCAAGGACGTTTAGGGGAACAGTGAGTAGAGCCATATGGTTGAATGGATGCTTCCAAAAAACCCATCCCATAATGCTGAAGTGCTCTGGGTCAGACACATTTGAATGCTGAGCTAAAACATTATTACACTTCAAAGTTTTTGAACAAGAATAGCATAGAAACAGAATTTTAGCAGAATCAATTTACACTCTAGCAAATAAGCAGGAACAGAAATGAGAGGAAATAGAAGGCTACTGCAAGAATCTGGGCTGGGTGGACTAATAGCCTTATAAGCCTCCTGATACAAAACATTTAGATATACTAAGTAAATACAACATCTCTGATAATGCACAACTACATACATTCAGTGAAAGAAAAGAGGTCAGAAGCAGAAAGACTAGAAAAGGAGCATCAAATTGATGCTAAAGGCAGCACAGGATAAGATGGTGAGACAGCATCACTGACTCAATGGACATGAATCTGAGCAAACTCCGGGAGATAGTGTAGGACAGGGAAGTCTAGCGTGCTGCATTCCATGGGGTCCTAAAGAGTCGGACACAACTTACAACAGCAAAAGCGTCAGTTACCCTGGGGCTGTTATGTGGGGTTTTCAACCTCACAAGGAAACAGAAAACAAGATCTTCTAAGGACTACATCCTCACTGAAAGGGCAGATAAGGGCAGAGGGGAATGGATCTTCTCCACCTTAGCTCAGAATGGGAGTCAGGGAGCCAAGAAAGCTGATTGTGATCATTGAGTTTGGGGGTTGATTTCATGCGTCTGTACAGCATGAAAAGCAAGGCGATCAAACCACTCAATCCTAAAGAAAATCAACCCTGAATATTCATTGGAAGAACTGATGCTGAAGCTGAAGTTCCAGTACTTTGGCCACTTGATGCAAAGAGCTGACTCACTGGAAAAGACCCTGATGCTGGGAAAGACTGAGGGCAGGAGGAGAAGGGGGCCAGTCAGCATCACTGACTCAGTGGACCTGAACCTGAGGAAACTGAGAGACAGTGGAGGACAGAGAAGCCGGGTGTGCTGCAGGCCATGGGGCTGTCAGGGGTCGGACACAATTTAGCAACTGAAGAACACCAACAGAGTGTGAGAAACCCCAAGTCAAGGAACTACACAGAGCCAACTGGCAACAAAGCCAAAAAGGTTAAGAAAGCAGGGCCTTCTGGCGTTGACGTGAATTCTCCTAAGTCCAAAAAGGCAAAAAACAAAGAGGAGCCATCTCAAGATGACCTTACTTCTCCTAAAACCGAAAGTTCAAAAAAACTAAAGGAGCCCTGTGAAAAGACAGCTGTTTCTCCTAACACCAAAAGAGCTATAAAAAATGAGGAGACTTCTGAGGAAGGACTGGTGCATCTAAGCCCAAAAAGATGAGGAAAGAAAAAGAAATAAGTGGAAAAACTGGAGAGAAAAGCCCCAACCTGAAGAATCACAATCAGGATTTCCTGATTATGGACCTGACTCTGACTCCAAGGAAGTGGCCAGTGAAGAAAATAACAGTGAGTTAGAGCAGGAAAGACTGTGGAGCAAAAAGGAGCTTTCTCTAGATTTCGCACATCTGAAGGAATGATTAAACTTCTCAAAGCCCATGGGGTGACCTTCCTGTTTCCTATTCAAGCAAAGATGTTTCACCCTGTCTATAGTGGGAAGGAGTTGATCACACAGGCAAGGACAAGAACTGGGAAGACGTTCTCCTTTACTATGCCTTTGGTTGAGAAACTTCAGGGAGAACTGCAAGATCGGAAGGGAGACTGTGCCCCTCAAGTACTGGTTCTTGCACCCACAAGGGAGTTGGCAAGTCAAGTAAGCAAAGACTTCAGTGACATCACAAAAAAGCTGGCATTGGCTTGTTTTTATGGTGGAACTCCCTATGGAGGACAAACTGAATGCATGTGGAATGGGATCAGTATCCTGGTTGGGTCACTAGGTCATATCAAAGACCACCTGCAGAATGGCAAGCTAGACCCCACCAAACTTAAGCATGTTGTCCTGGATGAAGTTGACCAGATGCTGGACATGGGCTTTGCTGATCAAGTATAAGAGATTTTACGTGTAGCAATAAGAAAGATTCAGAAGACAATCCCCAACATTGCTTTTTTTCTGCAACTTGCCCTTGGCGGGTGTATAATGTTGCTAAGAAATACATGAAATCTACATAGGAACAAGTGGACCTGATGGGTTTTTACCCATCAGAAACAGAAAACGGCAGTAACTGTATAGTATCTGCTTTCAAGCACCACTGGACTCACAGGGCAGCAGTTACTGGGACGTGATCCGAGTGTACAGTGGTTATCAAGGGAGAACTATCATATTTTGTGAAATGAAGAAAGAAACCCAGGAGTTGATACAGAACGTGGCTATAAGGCAGGATGCCCAGTCTTTACATGGAGACATTCCACAGAAGCACAGGGAAATCACCCGGAAAGGTTTCAGAAATGGTGATTTTAGAGTTTTGGTTGCAACCAAAGTTGCTGCATGCAGGTCAGACATCCCCAAGCTGGTTTGGTGGTTCAAAGTTCTCCACCAAAGAATACAGAGCCCTACATTCATCATTTTGGGTGAACAGGTAGAGCTGGAAGGATGGGGGTTGCATCTGCTTTTATCAGCACAAGGAAGAATACCAGTTGGCCCAAGTGGAGCAAAAAGCAGGAATTAAATTTAAGCTAATAGGTGTTCCTTCTGCAATGGATAATTAAAGCTTCTAACAAAGATGCCATCAGGCTCATGGACTGTGTGTCTCCCACTGTGCTTGATCACTTCAAGCAGTCAACCAAGAAGCTGACTGAGGAAAAGGGAGAAATGGAAGCCCTGGCAGCAGCCCTGACCCACATTTCCGTGCCATGTTGGTAGACCAGCACTCCATGATCAACTGAGATACGGGCTTTGTGACCATGATCTTGTAGTGCTCAACTGAAATGCCAAACATTAAGTTATGCTTGGAAAGAACTTAAAGAGCAACTGGGTGAGGATACTGATTCCAAAATGAAGAGAAATGGTCTTTCTCAAAGGAAGGCAGGGTGTTTGCTTTGATATCCCACTGCATCAGTAACAGAAGTACAGGAAAAATGGCATGATTCACAGCACTGGAAGCTTTCTGTGGCCACAGAGCAACCAGGGCTAGAAGAACCAGGGAAAGGATAAGGCAATTTCCAGGGATAGTGGGAAGGCAACCAAGGTGTCGGGACAGCGGGAAAGAAGGAGAAGCTTCAGAGGACAGCAGTCAGGAGGTGGTAACAAAAGTTACAGATTTCAGAAAAAGGCCAGAAGCGAAGCATTTGAATAAAGCATTTGAATAGAATTTGAAGTAGAGGATTTATATGGCAAAAACAGAACTATGCTCAGAAACATGAAACTAAACATTATTTTTCATACAGAGTTAAAAGTTAAAAGCACACTGTATTTCCTTCCTGACCATTTGCCCAATCCCCATCTCTTTGAAGCTTCACCTAAATTATCTCATCTGACTGATGTATGTATAACTTTACCATTACTTCTGTCTTGGGTGTTCCTTTGGAAAAGGTGTATGGATTCATTACATATTCTAATGTATTGCCTATAAATTACAAGATTAAGTTAAGCATGTATCTGCTGATACTTTGTAAGTTGACCTGTCTTTATACTTAGAAATGCCTCCTATTAATAGTATTCTTCCCTGGTGGCTCAGATGGTAAAGAATCTCCCTGTAATGCAGGAGACCCATGTTTGATCCCTGGGTTGGGAAGATTCCCTACAGAAAGAAAGAGCAACCCACTCTGGTTTTCTTGCCTGGAGAATTCCATGGACAGAGGAACCTGGCAGGCTACAATCCATGGTGTCACAGAGTCAGACACGACTTAGCAACTAACACTTTCATTTTTTTCACAACATGGGGAAAACACAATTTGAAAACAGAAAGGCCTGTTTTCCATAACTGATGACACTCAGCATTACCTGAGCGAAACCAAATAATGGTAGGGGTGACCTCTCCTTGTTCAAAGATGATAGCCTACCAAATAAAATAAATGGAAATAGGAAAGCAGAGGCAAAAGATTAACTGAATGACTTAAGGAAAAAGTGAAAACTAACCAGAGGCGCAACACAACGTCTTCCTACCTTTAAAACCCCCATGCAGTGAGTCAATGCAGTCAGTGAACAGCTGCACAATGCTCGAGGCCACCAGAGCATCACTCTCCAACCAGGGGTAGTGTCGCTGGCTGCTTTGAATAAGAGAGACAGACACTGAGAGAGGAGACACTATGATTAAATTACTGTCCGTCCCAGAATCTGGGGCATGCCTAATTCACAGAAAACTCTGTATTACGCAGCCCTAAAACACGTTTAGATCACTTTAAAGGCTGTAAATTCCTGGAGGTGAACGGTAGCTTTTAATATCAATAGCATAATTTTATTTACTTTCCTTCCTAACCTTTATTCCAATGTTAATTAAGTTTCAGAAGTGTGTCATCTAAATAAGTATCAAATTAACACCTTTTTTTTTACGTTCAATTATACTCGTGAATCCATCCCTTCTGAATTTGGGTTACATTTCAAATGCCTCAGAGAACAGTTTTCTCTACCTAAAGCCTGAAAGGGAAAAAAGTCATGGAAAAAGATGACCAAAAGTGGACAGAGAGGAAGTACCAAAGAAAAAAAAATCTTTATATGAAAATTCAGTTTCTGAATCTGGTTTAGAAAGCTCAATATAAAAAATAAATTCCATTAGCTCTTCCTGGAAATAAACAAGCAGCCTGCATTATGATAAGCAGTCTCACAGTCACCACAAAATCCTGAAGCTTGCAGACTGTTTAAGGATAGCCCTCTGGGAGAGAGCAATTCCCACCCAGTAATTTGAAAGTCAACTTAGTCCCCAAAAAATAACTGATACTGGGTAAAATCAAGTAAGTCTCATATTTTGCAGTGTTACATTATCAAAACATAATTCAGGAGAACAACATTTATTTTTCTGAAATTAAATACTAAACCCATTTAACTTTTTATTGTGGAAAGCTGGAAATAAGAGTTCAGTTTTGCTTCAAAATCAATAGCTCTGATCAATTAGACTAACAATTCCACAAACAGAAAATGTCTTAAGTTCACTTTGTAAAGAAGCAATTTCTAAATTTAAATGCTGCCTACATAAAAATCAAATCTGTGAACCATCAGCTGTACCAAAACATCATCAGAACTTTTAAGTCTATAGATTTCAAAGGAATTTGAATATAAGAAAAACTATTTACCTTTCATTGTCTTCTAAAACCAGTATCCATGGCTTAAAGAGCTGGATGATTACTGAATGTAGGGATCTTAGCACTAAAACAAAGCAAAATTTTTAGAGACAAGAAACAAGGCCATCAAATGAAGATGGCCAACAGGAACATGAGAAAATGTTCAACACTGCTAATCATCAGGGAAATGCAAAGCAAAATCACAAAGAGATACCACTTCACACCTGTCAGAATGACTATCCTCAGAGAACACAAATACTAAATGTTGGCAAAGATGTGGAGAAAAGGGAACCCTTTATACACTGTTGGTGGGAATGTAAATTGGTGCAGCCAACTTACTGATACTTTTATCAGTATCACTGATAACTAGAAAATCTACTTATTATCTGTATACTTAAAAACCTATAGTGATACACAAAAAACATGTTTAATATAACTAAGCATGTTTCACTTTTCATTTGCTGCAATAAAATTTCTTAAATTGGACAAGTTTTATTATAATACATTGTCACAGACAATTTTATGACACACATTTTTTTAAATAAAACCTTAAATACTCTTAATGAGATAAATAATAGGAAGAGAGAATTGGAGACCGAAACCTGTATCTTTGTATTTCACCTTACAAAGACAGGGTGAAGCAAGCACCCACTATGTAAGTGAACACAGGTACGACACACATATGGGTTCACACTTGTACTGTGTATTTCCTATTTTTTCTTCGTAACTCTCAGATATACAGATTTATCACCAAGATTTAAATGTTTTAGTTTCTATTCAAGTCTCTCCTAATGGAAGGTCAGAACACCTAAGCTCTATGTTGCTCTAAAGGCATATTACCTGTTTTGCTACTGGCAGATGGGTCTTGGGCCAAGCAGGCCATTTCTGAGTCGAGCAGCCTTTCTACAAGATAGCCCAAGAATGTCTTCACATCTGCCATGTAAGGACTCCATTTTGAGAATAAACCAAAACTTTTAAAGTCCAATGTGGATAACCGAAGCTTATAAAAAAAGTTTGACAGCCACTGTATAGTCTCCATTACCTGGAAAAAAATGACCAATTTTAAAAAATGCTTACTGAATATCTACCTTTAGTAGAATATTACAGTAGGCTGAGACGAAGAGCTTTGGCTTTGTAACCGAATTACAAAGGTACATAGCATATGAAAAGTAAATCAACAGATTTCAAACTCCTTTTCAAAAGTAAAGGAACCATTTTTTCATATAAATTCACGTGAACTCACATCATGTAAAACTGATGAAGCCGACAGCTCTGGCGAACAACTGCATGAAACCTACTCAAAGGAGCCAGTGAAGCAGGAGGGTGAAAGTGGGAAGGGGAGATACAAAGGGCTGGGCCTGGGCTATTCAGGAACCGAGGAGCAAGAATCAGACTGAGGCACGAGAGAAAGGTGATCCAGGCACAGGGCGGTGGAGATGGGGCAGGGGATGGAGGGAACAGGAGATGACTGACAAGGAAAGCACAGGGCTCTTGAAGATAAAGAGATGCATTTTTAGATATAAATTTTAAATGTGTTCTAGTTATTTAAAAAAAAAAACAAAACTTTATAGAGGCGAGAGCTACACACCTGCTTGTCAGACAAGAGAACATCAGGAGAACTTTGAAGCGCCGTGCTCTCCGCAGAGGCTGCCCCCTGCGGGCAGCCTGGGGTGCAGCAGCCCAGGGCTCTCAGGGTGGCCTTCCAACACTCGGGGCTCAGCAGCTGTTCAGCAGAGCCTTCCAGGGTGTGGACAGAGGACAGCAAGTCAGCATCCTTCGCAAACTAACTGTTCAACATGAATCTAAGAACACATGTACTTTACGAATGAATGAGCATTAAGGAAACATCCAAAACATATTCATAAAGGTCTATGGTAAAGAGAGCAAAGTTCAGAGAACCTGCTGAAAGATCTGTGCAGGTGGACACCTGACTTTCCTTAATCTCGGTAACCCTGCGGGGAGTGAACACAGCAGAGCCATCTGAGCTGGCATCTGTGAGCCCGTGACTGGGGAATGGTAAAGGTGCATCTTTCTGGCTGGACGATGTGAGAGAAACAAAGGAGCCATGGAACAGAATACAACTACAGAGTCTATGCTCTCTTCAGAAAAAGTCTCACTTATCTAACACCCTCCTCCTGTAACAGGCAAGACCTAAAGCAACACAGAGACAATATGCAAAAGTAGAGACTACCAACCAGCACAGACCTACCTGCAAAGCTTCCACTTCCCAGAGGGCAGGAATTTACACCCTCAGGCCCTTACCACCGGGAAGTGGCTCGGCTCAAGTAGGACAACAGTGGCTCAGAAGGGCAGGTCTGGATGGAGTCATGCACACCAAGAAGATGGCAGTGAAGCCAGGGGAAATTGCAGTGGGCTCACCCAGGGCAAATGAAGACAGATTAGCAATGGGTAAAGCCCTGGGAACACTGCCATGGCAGCCAGGGAGGGATGGAACACCAGGAGGCTGAAGGTCATGGAATCTGACAGAGGTGGTACTGTTAGTCTTAAGCCTGTAACTGAACTACTTTTCCTGCTAAATTAAAACTTTTCTGCTAAATCCAAGTCAATGGTTGCTTGTATAAACAATCTCTTTAAAAGGCTTCAGGGAAGGGAGCTTCCCTGGTGTCCAGTGGTTAAGAGTCTACTGTGCAGGGCAGGGGATGCGGGTTCGATCCCTGGTGGGGAAATGAGACCCCGCATACCACAGGGCAACTGGGTCAGGGACCATAACCAGAAAGCCCGCAACACACAAGGAAGATCCTGAGTGCTATAGCTGAGGCCTGAGGCCTGACGCCAAATAAATATTTAAAAAAATAAAAGGTTTCAGGGGGAAATTCCACAATATATGTTTAATCAAATTTTGAAAACTTAGGAGTAAAACTTAGCTATGTAAATAAACATTAAAAATTATACAAGTGCACGTCTGTACCACCACTCCCCACCCACCTTGTAACCTGTCTCTGTAAGAAATAATGAACGTTTTGAAGGGCTTTGAATATTAGACTATACATTCTTCAAGTAGTCCAATACATAAGATCATTAACTTATTCATAAAACTATTTCTATAAAGTGACACAAAGATGTGACATAATGTAAAATTTAGTGTTCCATTACATCAATAAACAGTATGAAGTTTACATGAATAAAGTAAATATTATTTCATTTTTCAAATTTCAATAAAATTCCTGCCGAGTGAAATTTCAAAATTAAAAAGTCTGCACTCTTTATTTCTCCTTTATTTCTCCAACGCTCTGATGGAAAACTGCAGGAGAGGGATAAAAACAGTGGGAATTTGGAAAATTTAATGTTGCTCTTTCTCTTGGATAATATAAAAACAGTGTATCATTATACTGGGATAAAATTCATTTGCAAAATACAAGAGTCAAAAAATTAGTGGGGGGGGTGGGGGCGCGCATGCAACCCTAACTGTATCCACCATTTTGAAACTAGAAAAAAACCAACTGGTATACTAAAGCACATTGTAAAGAAGCAACTTTCTTCTATTCCCAAATCTATAGTCACCAGAGTAAGCAGGCCCACCCCAGTCAAGACAGCTGCAAAATCAAAGTAAAGAAGTGAACGCAGGACTGTGGACTCCAATGTCTAAGAGCGGTCCTGCCCAATTAGGGCCCAATCTGACAACAGACCATTTTTACAGACAGCAACCTTTAGGGCATTATTCATTGAGCATTTCGGGTGAAGATTAGTAATTCTAAACTCCTGCATGCTTGTATTATTTTTACATTTTTGGATGACATCTGTGGAATGGTTAATGTCATACTGAACATTCATTGCGATCTAATCAGTCACAATTAAGACACTTACTTTGCATCAGCAGCCTGAGAATGTCACTGTACTGGTCAGGAAACTGGTACAGAAGAAGGTAAGTCCAGTGCTTACAGAAAAGATTAAATGGCATCAAAATATCTTCGTCTGGTTCAAGGCCCCAGGCAGTAAGTGCCAAATGAATGGACTCCAGAAGCCTGGTACGATCAGACAGAGGAGGTTTAGTGGAGTTTAACCATTGCTTAAGATCGAACTAAAAAGAAAAAGAAATAAGAAGCAGTTTTATTTATACTAGAAAGTTGATTGCAATAGAGCAAATTATGTGCAATTTAGTTTGAAAGTCAAAGTTTACCTAGTATTTAGCTTTTCGTAAGGATTGAAACTAAAATTTATACACTTAAAAGAATCTAGGCAGTTGAATAACTAATGGAGCCATTATGTCTCCATCTCTACTTCACTCTTGGGGTTGCAGAAGCAATTTTTTCAGCTCCGCAAGCTTTTTTACAATTTAAGAACCTTGTTGGTAAGTTTTCCCTATAAAACAAGGATCAGAACTGTGTAGTTCTTCTTCACTGGTCACACTGCCACAAACAAGTAGCGACTTTATGCAACTATCTCCTTCTAGTGGCCATGTTTCTAAATCTTCATCAGTTAATGAAAATTCAGGGTGTTGATCTCACCTTCCAGAATCCCAAACTATAAAACATGCTTTCCCCTATTAAAAATTGGGATCAGTCTCCAGGTCCTAAAAAATGTCCAAGTTTTATGATTTATAGATGTCAGAGAAGTACAATTGAAAGCAAAATAGCTAAGGCTCTGATTTCTCAACTGGTAACATCTGACATATTAACAACTTAATTATCAAACACAATTAAGGCATAAATTCAAGACACATTCAAAAGAAGGATGTACCAAACTATTACTATAAATATTTCAAAACTGTAGGAAGTTTTTAAAGAGCTTGGGAGCTGGTCTTTTTTATACTACATGTGGTGAGACTGTCCTACAGGACATAATGCATCCAGAAGCAGCAGCTATGGGATCGGACTACTTGAAGATGACATCAAACATGAAAAGGGCCTGTCTGCCTCCAGTCCCCCTGGAGAAGAGCTCCAAGGGCCTTGCATTTCTGAGGCACAGGGAAACAACAGCAGGACCTACATCTCAATGACAACATAGGACTGAGTCACACCTCACCTTGGTCAGCAGCATGAAAATCATATCACTGTTGTCCTCACGCAGAAACTTCACCACCTTCTCATAGAGCTGGATGAACTCCGCAGGCGCAGCACTGGGAGTGAAGAAAGGAGACAAGAGGGAGCAAAGCCTTCTGTCCTTCAGAATGGTCTGAAGGACTCTTCTGCATTCTGATTTAGTGCCACTGATAAATACCTTAAAAGAATTGAAAAGGGAAAATGTCACCAAATTCTCCCCTCCCCAGCTTTTCTTTGAGCAACCAAGTTTTAAGGAATAGCATATACGGCTAACAGAAATTTTTCCAAATTAAAATATGAAACAATCAAAAGAAATCTAAAATCAACATAGATAAATCTATCACTTTCAATGTAACCTATATTAAAAATTCTGGATAATCCATTCATTTGGTTTGGACAAGTCAAAGAAAATATTTAAAAGATTAAAATACTGGGATAATCTGAATCCAGAAATTTGCAGTGTACCTACCATGATTACTAAGTATCTAAAGTGATTCTGCACTATGTCAAGAAAAAAAAAAAGATTCTAGGTTACAGACTTTATTGAGATATGCTTTTAATACTTTTAAAAAGCTAACTTTCATAATTAATATACATCTTGTTTTAACTTGTTCTAATGTTTAAGAGTATTAGAATATAAGTTGATATTTAATCTCAGGCTTAGGAAAGCTTTGATAAATTTGATCAGAGACAAATAATAAAGGATAAGACTGATAGATTTGAATATGTAAAAATTTTGACTTCTATATGGCAAAAAAAATCATAAAATAATAGAAAAACGACATAGTAGAAAAATTGTAACATGTTCCAGACACCAGGTTAACAGTCTGAGGAGCTCTTCAAAGCAATCAAAAAGCAAGAAACTTCCCAGCAGAAAATGTGCAAAGAACAAAAACCAGAAAATTCACAAAAAATTATTAAATCATTTGAAAAATCATGCAACTGAACTAATACTTAAAGAAATACAACTTAAAATAATCACAAAGCACCACTTCCCTTATTAGATTAGCAAGACCTAAAAAGAATGATCAGTCCTAATATTAATTCTAACATGGAGAATAATAAATTGAACCCTGTTATTACAATGTAAATAGGTGTAAACAGGAGGACAGTATGACAATATACATCAACTGCTAATCCTTTTGACATAGTGATCATACTTCTAAGAAATTATCCTATGAAAAAACAGTCTAATAATTTCACAAAGGTATGTAAGAATATTTAGTTCAGGCTTACAGCAGCAAAACAACCAACCAACCTAAATATTCATCCAGAGAGCACTGGCTCAATACATTACAAGGTATTATCTGTATTATGGAACACTATATATTAAATACTATGATGCAGGTTTTTACTTATTATCAAGGAATAGTGTCTAAAATGTGTTTGAATGAAAAAAATAGCATATGCTAAAGTGTGTATCCCTATCTCTATATCTATATATAAGAATGACACATTATTTTTACACATACACACATATACCAATAGACATACAAGATCAACTATAGGGAAACGTTAGCTATGTAACCAGTATCTCCAGGAGATTAGGATTATAAGAAATTTCTCTTTATACTTTTTACACTGTCTGTATTGCTTATAATAAGCACTCGTTGATTTCATAATTAGGAAAAACATTTCTAAAAAATCTACTTTAATATCTGCTCAGCATCACCTCCCTAAAAGTATCCAATAAATAACCACTCATTTAACTGAATTTGAAGAAAAGTACATGGTTAATTTTCTGTATTTTGCAGCAAGTGGCATTCCTTGCTTTAATGACACATTTCATAAATCTGCATGGATTCGTTGCCGCTGTCCTTCCTAAATACCCACATATTTCAGAGTTCAGTCAAGCAAATAAATCGTGAGTAGCAGCTGAGAGGCAGCAGTGCAGAGGCGGAGCAAGCACCGAGCGTCGAGTCAGGAGACCTGGGCTCCCTCTCGCCGCCAGGGCTCACCAGCTGTATTCCTTAGGCAAGTCACTCAATCTTTTAGAGGCTAGTTTTTCTCATTGTTAACATTGAAGTGCTACCAATCACACAGAGTCATTGTAAGGATGAAATAAAATAATGATTTTTTAAATTTATTTATTATTTTAATGATTTTTTATTATAAAAAGCATTTTATAAACAATAGTCTCATATAGTTAATATCATTAACATCAACAGCATACAATAGAATTCGACATCTCCCTGGTGACTTTCATATACTAATAATTTAACAACTCTCTCTGAAAAGCAGAATTCCATACCAGCAATTCTAACCACATCTTGAGAAGTCAACAATTCAAAGGGGCTTCTGAATTAGGTAAGACTCTGAACCTTTAAGTGTGGAGTCAACCCTGATTATATCTAATGAGGACACTGCAGGGACTCATCATATGTAAAGAAGGCTAAAAACACAGGATAACCTTACCTGTCCCAAGATCTCAATGCATGAAGTAAAGAACTGCCTTGTGGGAGGATGACGCTGGGTCTCGTCACTGACATAATCCACAACAGTAAAGAAGAGGCTGATGCCAACCTTCTGAACCCCAGGGGTGGGCTGCGACTGGTAGGCGTTCACTAAGGCCCTGTGGGAAAACATTGGTAAGGATACCGGTCTACAGTAAGAGAATTCAGACCCACGGTGTTTCCCTGATACTCTACATTTCTCAGGCAATATTCTCAGAGTCCTTAGAGCCCCCCACAAATGTCACTTTAGAAATATTTCACAGGATAGCTTACAACTTGACGCAACAACTTATTTTCAACACATAGAAATGATTTTATGTCCTCCTAGGGTTAGGGTGGGGGGATTAGCCTTTATTAAGTATTTTCATATGTCAAAGTGACAGTGTGCTAGTCACTCGGTCATGTCATGTAGTCATGCAGACCCCATGGACTGCAGCCCACCAGGCTCTACCCATGGAATTCTCCAGGCAAGAGTACTGGAGTGGAGAGCCGTTCCCTTCTCCAGGGGATCTATCAACTCAGGGGCTGAACCTGGGTCCCCTGCATTGCAGGCAGATTCTTTATTTCCTGAGCCACCAGGGAAGCCCAGCAACTTATCTCCAATACACAGAAATGACTTTGTGTCCTCCTGGAGGGAGGAAATGCAGCCTTTATTAACATTAAATATTTTCACAGTTGTATGCAATCCACAATGTTACATCCAATTTTTCCAAATTATCCAACTAATCCAAATATTACTCAATGTTGTATATTACATAAACACACGCTTTTAAAAATAAGAACCTTGATTTCTCTAAATTTTAAAATCTAAAACAATGATTTAGGTTGAAGAAAAAGATTTTTTTATAGAAGATGATCCTAGTATAAAAGATGTCTCTTCTAATTCTTACTCTGTTTTGAGTTTCTTTTCCAGAAAAAGAAATAGCAACCTCTTGTTCACCTTATCTCCTCCTCCTTCCCAGACCCTTCCAATGTAACTCACGAAAGGTCTCTATGCCCCCATCCACACCACCATCCTAATCTACAGGGGGATTAGCTGCTGGTGAGTCAACCTCTCCCTTCCCAGGTAATATCCTGGTGGCTTTGAGCTCCAAAAGAAACCACCATGGATGGTCAAACGCAAGCCAGCAACTACACTTGTGAGCCATGAGCAATTCTACTGCAAACTTTGCTCAATAATCTGAACTAATGATGATGACTTCCTGAGTAAATGTGCCTTTAATATAAAGCTTAAGAACTAAATCTCTCCAGATTAGATTCTAATGTAATGTATCACCTCCTAATTCAAGGGTCAGCAAAATTATTCTATAAAGAGACAGTAAATATTTTATGCTTTATGGGCTATAAATTGTCATAACATTCAACTTCACCCCTGGAACATAAAAGCCATACACGTTAAATAAGTACATGGGCATGGTTATGTCACAATAAAACTTTACTTATAAAAATAGATGACAGGTCAGATTTGGTCCAAAGGCTGCTAATTCCTATACTAGTTAATTAGTAGGTGACTGGGGGGATAGTAGCAAGTATGATTGGTATCAGTAATAACTAACTAGTATTTTAAATTAGAACGCCCTCAAAACTTACGTAATCAAGTTTTCAGCATGCACAGCGGCTTCCACAATATTAAGTGATGGTGGTTTAGCAGCTTCTGCTTGCAACTGCTTCACTTCTTTTCGCAGAACATGAAGCTGTTGGCTTACTGCTTCATTCTTATGCATACCTTCAAACTAACAAAAATTAGAGTGGTCAACAGATTTATTTGCCCCTACAGGATTCTAGAGCAGACACTTTATTACAAATATCCTGGGTATTTGATAAAGAAAATATTATTACAACTAATACTATAACAAAATTCTCAGTTGAACCTGAGGAGGATGGGGGCAAAAATGTCAAAAAAAAAACTAAGAATCTCAAGCTTTTCATGAAGAATCAAACTTGAATTAGTTTGTTGCTGGTTCAGAGCTTTTTGGTAGGCTACGTTCTACGCCACTTATGCTTCAATGCTCCAATTCTCATCAAAAATAAACTCAACGGCTTCCACCACTGGGGCTTTTCCTGAGGCACATCAAGCCCTCTCCTGTTGACCATCCCTCCCCAGAGCTGTAACCCTTCTCTGTTCCCCCAATCCAGAAACACACGTAATCTGACACTGGGCCTACAGGTCTCATCTGCACAAAACCATAAAAAGAGGATGACACAAATCTGTTAATAAAACAACTGGAGGTAGAAAAGATATATATTTTTTTAAAAGAAATACCAAAAATAAGATAAAATATGAGAAATGACCAAATCAGTTGCATGCTGAGCAAAGAGCAATTGACTAATTTCAGTGGTTCTTGAAATCTGGTCTTTGATAAAATTTTACTGGTTCTCAACAAAGATGTGAAAAATAAGAATTTATTGAGGTTTGAAAAAAAACTAAAGTTATTTCAATTTTTTAGAACTATCCTACCGAGATGGTAGCGTAGAAGGACGTGTGCTCATCTTGTCCTACAAGAACACCAAATCGCAACTAGCTACTGAACAACCACTGACAGGAGTATGCTAGAATTCACCAAAAAAAAGATACTCCACATCAAACGACAAAGAAGAAGTGGCAATGAGTTGGTAGGAGGGGTGCGATCACGTTTGAATCAAACCCCACACCCCCCAGAGACTCTTGGAGGGCACAAATACTTGTGTGCACCAGGACGCAGGGTAAAGGGGTGTGACCCCCACAGACTTAGCCAGACCTGCCTGTGAGTGTTTGAGGGTCTTGTGTGGAGGTGCGGGTCAGCAGTGGACTGCCACGGGGACAGGGGCACTGGCAGCAGCAGTTCTGGAAAGCCTGTGTCCTGTAAGCCCTTTTAGAAGACACCTCCAGCCCAACCTAGAGCCTAGGACGCCTCAGGCCAAAGAACTAACAGGGAGAGAGCACAGCTCCACCCATCAGTAGAAAATCGGATTAAAGATTTACAGAACATGGCCCTGCTCACCACACCAAGATTCAGTTTTCCCCACAGCCAGTCCCTCCCATCAGGAAGTTTGCACAAGCCTCTTATCCTCATCCATCAGAGGGCAGATAGAAGCAGCAAGACCAACAATCACATGACCCCCAGAATGAAAAACACAATCACAGAAAACTAACCCAAATGGTCACATGGATCCAGCCTTGTGTAACTCAATGAAGCTATAAGCCACGTGGGGCAGGGCCACAAAAGACAGACTGGACATGATGGAGAGTTCGGGAAAAGATGGTCTACTGGAGAAGAGAATGACAAACCACTTCAGTATTCTTATCCTGAGAATCCCATGAACAGTATGAAAGCGCAAAAAGATCTGACACCATAAGATAAGCCCCTCAGGTCAGCAGGTGTCCAATATGCTACTAGGGTATATTGGGCATCTGGTCCCATCAGTTCATGACAAATAGAAGGGGGAATAGTGGAAGCAGTGACAGATTTTCTCTTCTTGCACTCCAAAATCACCACAGATGATGACTGTAGCCATGAAGTTAGAAGATGTTTACTTCTTGGAAGAAAGGCTATAACAAACCTAGACAGTGTATTAAAAAGCAAAGACATCACTTGCCAACAAAGGCCTGTATAGTCAGAGCTATGGTTTGTCCAGCAGTCATGTACAGATGTGAGAGTTGGACCACAAAGAAGGCTGATCACCAAAGAATTGATGCTTTCAAATTCTGGTGGTGGAGAAGGCTCTTGAGAGTCCCTTAGACAGCAAGGAGATCAACCAGTCAATACTAAGGGAAATCAACCCTAAATATTTATTGGAATGACTGGTGTTGAAGCTGAAGGTCCAATACTTTAGCCACCTGATGCAAAGAGCAGAATCATTGGAAAAGACCCTGATGCTGGGAAAGATTGAGGGCAGGAGGAGAAGGGGGTGAGAGAGGATGACATGATAGGACAGTATCACTGATTCAACACACATGGACTTGGGCGAAGTCCAGGAGATGGTGAGGGACAGGGAGGCCTGGCATGCTGCAGTCATGGGGTTGCTAAGAATCAGACATGACTTAGCAACTGAACAACAACAATGCTACTGGGGAAGAGAGGAGAGAAATAACTAGAAAGTAAGAAAGGGTGAGCCGAAGTGGAAATGACATCCAGTTGTGGATGATGTGTCTGGTGGTAAAAGTCCAATGCTATAAAAACCAATATCGCACAGAAACCCAGAACGTTAGGTCCATGAATGAAGGTAAATTAGATGTGGTCAAGAAGGCAAAGGCAAGAGTGAACACTGACATTTTAGGAATCAGTGAACTAAAACAGAAGCAAATGGACAAATTTAATTTAGATGACCGTGATATCTACTATTATGGGCAAGAATCCCTTGGCAAAAAAAAGAGTAGCCCTTACAAGTCAACAAGAGTGCACTCCTTGGGTGCAATCTCAGAAATGACAAAATGATCTTGGTTCCTCTCTAAGGCAAACAATTCAGCGTCACAGTAATCCAAGTCTACGCCCCAACCCTGGTAACTCAGCTGGTAAAGAATCTGCTTGCAATGCAGGAGACCCCTGTTTAATTCCTCAGTCGGGAAGATCCGCTGGAGAAGGGGTAGGCCAATCACTCCAGTATTCCTGAGCCTCCCTGGCGGCTCAGTTGGTAAAGAATCCGCCTGCAATGCGGGAGACCTGGGTTCAATCCCTGGGTTGGGAAGATCCCTTGGAGAAGGGAATGGCTACCCACTCCAGCATTCTGGCCTGGAGAATTCCACGGACAGAAGAGCATGGAGGGCTACAGTCAATAAAGTCTCAAAGAGTCAGGCGCGATTGAGAGACTTTCACTTTTCACTTTCACTTTTCATGCCCCAACCCCTAAGGCTGAAGAAGCTGAAATCGAACAGTTCTATGAAGACCTTCAAGAACTAACATAAAAAATGATATCCTTTTCATCATAGGGATTGGAGTGACAAAGTAGGAAGTCAAGAGATACCTGGAGTAACAGGCAAGTTTGGCCTTGAAGTACAAAATGAACCAGGGCAAAGGCTAACAGAGTTCTCTTTGCCAAGAGAACGTACTGGCATACATAGACAATACCAGATGGTCAATACTGAAATCAGATTAATTTTATTCTTTGTAGCTGAAAATGGAGAAGCTTTATACAGTCAGCAAAAACAAGACCTGGGGCTGACTGTGGCTCAGATCATGACTCCTAATGCAAAATTCAGACTTAAATTGAAGAAAATAGGGAAAACTACCAGACCATGCAAGTATCACCTAAATCAAATCCCTCATGATTATACAATGGAAGTGACAAATAGATTCAAGGGATTAGATCTGATAGACAGGGTGCCTGAAGAAATATGGACAGTTCATAACACTGTATGGGTGGTGGTGACCAAAACCATCCCAAAGAAAAAGAACTGAAAGACAGCAAAATGGTTGTCTTGAGGAGGCCTTACAAATAGCTAAGAAAAGAAGAGAAGTGAAAGGCAAAGGAGAAAGGAAAAGATATACCCAACTGAATGCAGAGTTTCAGACAATAGCAAGGAGAATAAGAAAGCCTTCCTCAGTGATCAGCGCAAGGAAATAAGAGGAAAACAACAGAATGGGAAACACTAGAAACCTCCAGAACACTGGAGATATCAAGGGAACACTTCATGCAAAGATAGGCCCAATAAAGGACAGAAATGGCAAGGACCTAACAGAAGCAGAAGAGATTAAGAAGAGGTGGCAAGAATACACAGAACTATGCAAAAAAGGTCTTAATGACCTGGATAACCATGATAGTGTGATCACTCACCTAGAGCCAGGTATCTTGCAGTGTGACGTCAAATGGGTCTTAGGAAGGTATTAACTATGAACAAAGCTAGTGGAGATGACAGAATTCCAGCTAAACTATTTCAAACCCTAAAAGATGATGCTGTTAAAGTGTTGCACTCAATATGCCAGCTAATTTGGAAAACTTAGTGGCCACAGGACTGAAAAAGTCAGTTTTCATCCCAATCCCAAAGAAGGGAAATGCCAAAGAATGCTCAAACTACCACACAACTGCACTCATTTCACATACTAGCAAGGTAATGTTCAAAATCCATCAAGTTAGGTTTCAGCAGTACATGAACCAAGAACTTCCAGATGTAAAAGCTGGATTTACAAAAGGCAGAGGAACCAGAGATAAAATGGCCAACATCTGTTGGATCACGGCAAAAGCAAGGGAATTTCAAAGAAACATCTACTTTTGCTTCACTGACTACACTAAAGCCTCTGACTACATGGATCACAACAAACTGGAAAAACCTTAAAGAGATGGGAATACCAGACTACCTTACCTGCCTCCTAAGAAACCTGTATGCAGGTCAAGAAGCAAGGGGTAGAACCGGACATGGAACAATAGACTGGTTCAAAATTGTGAAATGAGTACATCAAGGCTGTATATAGTCACCCTGCTTATTTAACTTATATGCAGAGTACATCATGGGAAGTGCCAGGCTGGATGAATCACAAGCTGGAATCAAGACTGCCGGATGAAATATCAACAACCTTAGATATGCAGATGATACCACTCTAATGGCAGAAAATCAAGAACTAAAGAGCCTCTTGATGGGTGTGAAAGAAGAGAGTGAAAAAGCTGACTTAAAATTCAACATTCAAAAAACTAAGATCATAGCATCTGGTCCCATCACTTCATAGCAAATAGATGGGGAAAAAATGGAAACAACAGCAGGTTTTATTTTCTTGGGCTCCAAAATCACTGCAGATGGTGACTGAAGTCATGAAATTAAAAG